AAATGCATTCCAAAGCAAAACTGAAGTAGTCTCTGAAAGAGTTCATATCTGGACTTCTTTTATTGATTAGTAGAGATCATCATGAGGATATATAAAAGATTCTTTCAAAAAGCATTGCTTATTGTAAATAAAAGTCTGCACAATAAGATCCAATGTGTAAGATAAATGATTGCTTTATCCTATTAAAAACAATCAAACTTGTACTTTTTCTACAAAAGAAAATTTCCAGTAAAATTCTATGCTGATCTCAATAAATTACAATTTTACAAATATATATGCATACATGTACTCATATTTATCTATAATCTGCAAATACAGATATATACATATATACACATAGGTGTATACATATGTATGAATATATACACATGTACATATATACACCTATATATCCATATATATGGGGAGGTATATGTATGTATGTGTGTGTGTATGTGTAAAACATGGTACAGATAAAGACCAAGTTATAGTGGATCAAATTAGTTCTGTTCTTTCATTATTAGATGAAAAAGGTTGTTGTTGTTGAGTACAATCTAGTCAGAACCGACCCACTGCTGACACTTCAGGGGGTTTTCAGAGGCAGTTAATCCCACTGGAGGAGAATGTCCATCCTTCTCCTACAGGGCAGTTGATGGGTTTGAACTACATTCCTTTAGGATCTCACCTGAATTCACTCCTGATAAATAAAGGTATCAGGTAAAGGCTAGGGAAAAGAGTAAATGTCAAATCAAGTGGATGATGGGCATGTGAGTGTATGATGTGTTGTTTATGCTATGCTGATGCTGAGTAGAGTTGATTAGAATATTAACACTTCAAATATTTTAGGGATTTTTTTCTTCTGTTAACATGAATATTCATTTTAATTGTAAAGTCCCTTTTTTATATGAAACATCAGCAAATAAAAACCACTGTAATTGACCCTTTAGTCTCCAATTTTCTTTTTGCTAATGAAATCCTACTTGTGTCACAAATTATACTTGTTCAAATTGAGATTTATCTCTACAATCCAATTGAGAGGGATCCAAACTTCAAAAGAGAGATTTCAGTATCAAAGAAAAAAGAATAACAGAATCAATAACAAAGAAAAACAGTAACAGAAATACTTGTCTGAACCTCCTCCTATATTTGGGCGTGTTCTTCTGCCCAATACATGTTCTTCTGCTCCATACAACCAGCTAGAGGAGGAAGTCAGTGAATGTACCACATCTCCAAACTCTGCGCATATAATAGAATAGACCATTTTATCCTTTAAGATATTAGTATGGAAAAAGCATTTACATGCAGTAACATTCATAAAAATCTGTACCATTTTCATGCACAGGCAGTGCTCAAATACAGAAGAGTCTCCCCTCATTTCTGAACTGAATGAAATTACTGTCCTGACACATTTTTGGTCTTCTGGTATGGCTTCATTATGAGAGTGGAGCTCTTTCTAAATTGTGATTTTTTTTAAATGCAGGTAGAGTTGTTGCAGTTTTATTAGAATGCTTGATATTTGATGTGCATAATTATAGAATTCTGCACCAGTGTTTCTAATCTAATTTAGAATAATACACAAAGCATAGCTAAAGCTAATCAAAGGGCACAGAATTCTTTTCATTTCTCTAGATCTGTTTGCATGTCTCCATCTCTAAAGTTGAAAAGCACCCAATACTTTCTCTTAAGACTACGGAACACAAATTTTAATTAAAAAAGATCATGATCATAAAATTTGTAGATCATTTCCACAAGACTGATATCATTCTTATTCAGGAACATAATTGTATCTAAAATAATATTTGCGTAATTCTTAATTGATTTCATTTTCCTTTATGATGCATATTATGCTGACCTTTAGAGGCCATTAACAGCATTGAATTAATTAGTGATAAATTGTGTTTTAATTTCTTTCTCTTTTGCCTTCTCTTCCTTCATCACTCATTCCCTCTCACTTTCTTTCCTTTCCCCTCTTTTTTAATTCTTTTCTGTTTTCAACATTCCTTGTCCCCAAAGACATGTACACAGGGCAGTGAGATTAAATTAACAAGCAAGCAAAAACCTAAGTAAACAAATAAAGTCCACATAATGGTTTGTTTTGTCAAATGGACCTCATGCTCCTCTACTTTCAATGTAACATTTTCATCCTTCTATTTGTATTTTATCTTGCTATCTCCCATCACTGGTTATTGCCCATTGGAGCAAAGCTAGCTCAAAAAGGCTTCTTCCATTTTGAAATGAATCTTCTGTTTTGAGATTTATTAAAAAGGGTAGGTTTGGGTTTATTAAAAAAAATATTAAACAAATCAGATAATTTCACTCCCAGACAGAAAAAGAATGATTCTTTCTAAACAGAAGTTTTGTGGACAAAAGATTTTCATACAGACACACATTTTGGACTGCCCTATTTATCCAGTTCCCATCACAATCCATGAAGAGCTTTCATAGCCCTTCACCCCATGACTTGTTGAGTTTTCACATCCCATTTCTCAAGTCAAATACCCAGCACAAGAGGCATTTCCTAGTTTGTACCCATTGAATCTCATAAAACATAAACACGCTGACATGGTACTTAGCCATGCATGTGTGCATTACTTTGATAACATATGTTCATCATGCCAGTACAATAAAAAGATAGCTCTCTGTTTTGAAACCCAAACCGTTCTTCTTGGCAGAATAGAAATAACGTTTTTTACATCTACTTCACTTTGGTGGAGTATTTGATCTCTAACAAATTTACCTCCTGTAGACTTTCATCTATTTCATAAAAGAAGTCACAAATTTTAATTCCATACACATAAATGCAAAAGAATGATGAAAAAGGAAAACCAATTCTTTCTTTTCTCTATTTTTTTTTAAAAACACACATTAAATGAAAATTGCTTCTCCTCAAAAATATGGCAATTGTTCCATGCCTGACTACAAAGTAAATGATGCCCAATGTATGCGTGCGTTTTCTTGGCAAAATCATTAAAAAATTTTGTGTGTATGGGGTCTCACTTTCTTGACTTTCAGAACTTCTAAGGAAGTTATTCATGGCTATTTTGCAAAGTAAGCATATTAATTTCTTTCTCCTTTGGCTATCAGTGTAAAAGGATGAAGAATAAGATGGAGGCAGAAGTGGCAAAGACAAGCACACTACAGATGCAGGGATGGCACCCAAACAGCAAGCTTTGGAAAATCATGAGAGGCCAAAAGCAGACCCCATACTCTGCAATGCAGCATTTTTTTATGCATTTGACTCGGAATAATTATAAAGTCATAAAACATTCCTCTATAAGAAGCCTTCTCCCATGCAAGGACTTATGAATGTGGTCAATAAGATTCAAAGAAGCTATCAGGCTTCTTGAAAGTGTTCTCAAACACCTTTGCAAATGCCAATAGCGCAAGTGATAAAAGCCAGTGATGGTTTGGGCTACAGCTAAATGAGGAAAAGACAATGGAAATGAATCTCTAGAGGCAGTGATTACTAACAATGAATACTTAAAGAATGATGGAAAGCAACCTTGCTGATAAAATAGTGTTCAGAATGATGTCATGGAGTCTGAAACCCACAAAGATGCTCTGCGCATCCATATAAATCATAAGATCTGGAAAGTAACAAATGAAAGCACACAAGGCAAGCTGAACAAAAAGCACTCAGTTCCACAGTTGCTGTGTACAGATGGACATGGAAGCTTAATGGTATGGGATATTATACCATCGAGGTTGAAGATAAGAAAGCAAAGGAGATGCAATGCTTTGATCACTTCTTGGTTGAGACACTTCCTGGTAATCACCAGCTATGGAGACAGAATACATTGCAAGAGAGATTGTTCTTGGTTGTTGAAGAATGTTGAAGTAGGACCATTTTGGAAATGCAAAGAAGTGACTGTTTTGGGAAGAGATACAAAATAGCCAATTATTGGACTTTAGGTAGGATAGCATGGAACGGCTTAATAGATAGCACTTCCATGCAAGTCAGATCAGCTCTTTTCCCAGAAAAAATTGTCTAAGGAAACAAATGTAGGAAATGAAGCATTTGAGTCAAAGATTAATTTTTGCTCTATATTCTTTACCTAATTATCAAACTACTAAATTTCTGAAAATGGTGTCAGGAAGAATTGTATTTCATGTCCAGTTTGATTTGTGCAAGGCATTCACCATGTTGATAATATATTTCTAGTGATGCCACACTTAAAATGCCAGTATTCTGACTGGGAAAAGAACTAAAAGTGGCAGACCCACACATCTAGACTTGCAAACAATTAAAGGGCACTCCATGTTGAGAGAAAAGCACCAAGGGGGCGGGGCATGGGGGGGAAGAAGCCAAGGTGAAGAAACCTCAACACATACATTTGGAAATCTTGCCAAGAAATTTTGATTCTTCTCAATATTTGTTGAACTTCTCATATCTATGTCTTTGTTGAAAATGGATCAAGCAATTATATTTTCATGAGAAGAGCAACATTTCAATGACCAAATGTAGGTATATAGTTTTTAATGCTTGACTACTGTGTTAGTATTTGGCAACAGCACACCCACCTGTATAAAATTCAAACATCTTGTTGCTTTCAAGGGTTCCTAATAACCTAGTATGCATTGGCACCTGAATGAATGAATTCCTATTGTTGCCATCATCTCTAACATGTGAATACAATCCACACATAGAGAGGGGTGGTTCCTGAACAAAGAATGAAAATAACAGAGACTAAAAAGGGCAAGTGGACTCACCAATAGGTAAATACACAAAAGCGCCAAATAATTATAATAGTCATAGCTTTGCACTGATTTTCTAGACTATGAAATTAGTTTTCTTGTGAAGAATGGATATTTTACAAGGCTAGAAAAACGGGATAATTGGAAAGTCAAATTGCTCTTTTAAAGTTATTGTAATGCTTAGAAAAATGGTGACAACTTAAAAAAATATAAATCCCTAGGAATCACCCTAATTTGGTAATTTTAACAGTACTGTTGCCAAGAATGTTTGCCTTGGAAGCACAACAGTGGGGATTTTACATTGTGAAGCCCAAGTCCCAGCTTACCCCTGACACAATGAGTTCTCCTCCCAGATTCTGTACTTCTGCCTTCACCTTGCTGCAGATATTGAGCTGGTGACAATACAAGGCAATTCGTTGAAGGTAGGCTAATAAATCCTGCTTACAGGCTGAATCAGGACACTATAAAACATAAAAAAGTTATCTTAATTAGTAAGAACTCTATAGAATTTGAAACATGCAATATAACTGTTTGGTACTTTAATTACTTCCATTTAACCTAACTACTATGTACTGCATTTTAGAAAGACTAGAGCCAGAGCCTGAATAGTAACTCTTAAAAAAATTATCTGGAGAATGTTGAAGATGCTCTAGTAATCTTACTGATTTATATAAATGGTGATGAGTATTTTTACCTGTTGTATTTTGGACTGTTAAGAAAAAGAACTGTTCTTCTCTTCTTTTTCTTGTGCTACTTTAAATTTTTACTATATGAGAAGTTACTTTACTACAAATAAATAATAATATAATAAATATAACATATAAATTATTATAATAACTACCAAAGAAATGGATGGTAGAAGGAAATTCCTTTGTCTGATCATCCTTCTGTCATACCGGAAGGTAGATTTTCAAGGCAACAAGTTGTGAAGAAAGTTGTTTTCTGTTTTCAAAGAAATTATAACCTTCAATAATTTCTATATCATTTTTATGAGAATATTTATCAAAAACTTTGGAGCACAGGTCCCCCTTGTGACACTTCTACGCTTGAAGGGGAGAGATCTCCAGAGGAGTCTGAGGATGCTAGTATTTGGTGCCATAACTTCATCAAGACTGCGATGCAAATGGCCAAGAGGATGAATATTCTATTTCTGCCTAAAGTAAACCGGATTTTGTATGTAAGAAATTTGCTTTATACAACCACAGCTGGAAAATGTAGGATATATTTGGGAAATATGGATATATATACATCAAATCAGAGTGGAGAGCAAACCTGAAACTAGAAGAACACCTTATGAGGCCTATGAAGACATCTTTGATGCCAAGAATGCATGTGATCATCTATCAGGATTCAATGTTTCTAACAGATACCTCAAGGACTTATACTATAATACCAACAGGGCATTTCAGAAGATGGATACAAAGAAGAAGGAGAAACAGTTGAAGCTTCTGAAGGAAAACTATGGCAGCAACACTGATCCATCAAAAGAAATACTGTTTTCTTTATTTTAATTTTGGACTGAAACCCTTGAATCTCTGCTGCCACACCATTTAAAAAAAATACTAAATATTGCAATTTTTGTATTTGATATTAATAACTGCCTGCTTAAAACATTGCTACATGTTAGAATCTATTATGTTAATAAATTGTAGCTTTTTACAAACCAAACAAAAACCAATTCTGCAGCACAATAAACTCTTCTTAAATGAGAGACTCTGTAGTAGTTTATGAGTAATATAAATATCTTTCTGTAGAATTAAATTGAAGCCAAGTGACAAGTAAGAGTAGAACTTTTCAACAGATGTAGCGAGTAAACGATAGTTGTTGTTCTTGCTAGTTGCTTTGAGTTGATGTTGTTCATGATAATCCCAGCTACACCAGAAGGAAATGTTTTCCTATACTGCACCATATTTACAATAGTTATGATGTTCTATCCATTGTTGGACCACTACCACTGTGAATTCTGAGTCCTTCTGTTCTAAAGTCTTCATCTTCTAACATTTTAACAGATGATATTCTGTTACAATCATTCAAGTAGTCACCAAGTTTTTGGTCCTAATCTGTTTTAGTCTGAAAACATCACTAATATCATTAATGCCATTTGATCAAACAATATCATCTAGTGTTTAAGCCATACATAAGAATATGAGGATGACTCCAAGCTATGCTTCCTTCAAACTCCACAAAGAAAATTTAAGAAAGAATTCACTAGAATTTGACACACCATTTCCTTAATAAGCTACTAAGAGTCTCTTACATGTAACATTGATGATTCTGATTTCTCTCACTAATGACATTTGTCAGGGGAGGGGAGAAGACCCGGAGAGATTGTTTTTAACTTTCTACAAGTTCTTAATACTGCAATATTTATCCTACTCTAGAGACCCTTATGTAGAAAGGAATTAACTTTAAAATTATATCTCCCTAAGGGGCTTACAAGGCTTTCAATATAAATACCTTGCAGCAAATTAAACTGGGAGTTCTATCTCAACGGAACAGTAATTAAAAATGCAACAGTCCGTAAAGAGTTTATATTGCATGCATATCTCAAATCTTCATAAAAAATGTTTTCAGGAAAATGAAGGCAACCAATCAACTCTTTAGTAAAGTTTATTCTTATCTTTAAAACAAAGCACTAAAAACATGCACAAAAGGGGAAGCTAGAGTATGAAAAATACTCCTGTGCAATGAAAATAGATGTAAAGTGTCAGAAAGAAGTGCTCCACTCAGATAAAACCATAAAAAGAAACAGAAAATGTAAGATACTTCACAGCTAATGACAGTAAGAATGTAAAGGAAAAGTATTTAGCTTTCATCTATTTCTTTTTAGAAGTCATTCCTAAATACGAAATGAGCCCACATAGTGGTGATATTAAGACCTCATCAACTGAAAAACAGTTTGAACTCACCAACTGATCCCTTGGGAGAAAGAAACATTTTCTGTAATGATTACAACTTTGGAAAACTTATTGGACAATTCTACCCAGTTCAATAGGGTCACTATGAGTTAGAACAACATCAGTGGTAATGAATTTTATTTGAACAGAGCCACTATAAGTTAAAATTAAGTTGATGACAATGTTGGGTTTTTTCTATGTACTTTCGAGTCACCTGTGACTCACAGCAAATCTATGCACATTAGCTCTGAACCCTGTCCTATCCTGAGCCAGTCCCACAGTCTCTGACACACCTAAACCCATTACTCCAATTACTGTGTCAATTCATCTATCCAGGGTCTTTCTCTCTTGTACTGTCCCTCGACTATTCCAAGAATGTTCTTCTCCAACGACTGGTTCCTCCTGACAACATGCCCAAATTATGGGAGACAATTCTTAATAATCCTTACCTCCAAGGAGAAACTTGCTTTTCAGGACAAACCTGTTTGTTCTCTTGGCATTCCATGGAATGTTCAACACTTTTCTCCAGCACCACAACCCTTAATCCTTAGTTATTGTCTGTCTCTCTCATGCACAGCAAGTGATTGTGAAGATCATGGCCTGGATCAGGAATATCTTTATCTGTAGACTGACATTGTTGCTCCTTAGCACTCTGAAGAGGTCCCTGACAGCAGATATTCCTAATGAAGTTTGACTGCTGGTCCCAAGAGTGTTGACTGTGGAACCAAACAAACTGTAACTGTTAACATCCTCAATCTTTACTCCATCCATTATGATGTTTTCACTTAGCCCAGTGGTAAGAAACTATATCTTCTTGATGTTGAAGACTACAGTCCTTGACATTCTGCAGCAAGTGCTTCAGGCCCTCTTCAGTTTCAGTAAGCAAGGTTGTGTCATCTGCATAACATAGGTTGTTGAGTTAACCTCCTATTCTGATGCCACATTCTTCCTCATAAAGCACAGCCTCCTGAGTGATCTATTCTGCATATAGATTGAAAGAGACAAGACACATGGAGACAGGATGCATCTCTGATGCACTTCTTTCTCAATTTTGAACCATACAATGTTTCCTTGCTCTGTTCTGATGACTGTTTCCTGGTCCAAGTATACATTTTGAATGAGTGCAATCAAATGTTCTGATATTCATTTTCTTCTCAATGGAAGCCACAATTTGTTGTGATCCACACAGTCAAATATCTTTGCATAGTCAATGAAACATAGATAGACAATCTTCGGGTATTCTCTGCTCTTAGCCAAGACCATCTGATTTTGTCAATAAAGTCTCTAATACCATGACCTCTTCTAAACACAGCTTGTATTTCTGGTAGTTTTCTGTCATGTACTAATCCAGTCGTTCATGACAATAGGTTTATTAAATAGAATGTTAAGTACTCTGACATTTACTCTTAAAAAAGAAATCTAGAATCCTTGTGTTTATATGTGCTGTTTTCCATACATGGAAACCAATTCTGGATATTGCTTGGATGATTCTTAGAGAATAAAGTCCAAAATGTAAACTTAAAAAAGAATGACAATAAACATAATGAACTATATCTTAGATGTTGTTGTTGTATTTGGTACCCAAAGCTGACCCTGTGGCAGGAAGGAGATTGTCCATCCTTCTCCTGCAGACAGCTGGTGGCTTCAAATTGTATGCCTTTGGGATCATAGCACAACTTTTTGCCACTAGACCACCAGAGCTCCCTGTCTTATATATTGTCATTCCAAATATAATGATCAACCATCTAAACTCCACCTACTCTCCATTGTGAGAGGAGTAATGTAAAACAAATTATTTTTCCAGAACCACCCATAAATCATGAGTCACTCTAGTCTTCCCTGGGGCCCTTAACATGTGAGTAAAAGAATGTGAACTTTCCCTGCTTGCATCTTTTAAAGTAGATTACCTGGCCATCTTTTCTTTTACATGAACATGGTAAATGCACTCATGGAACTCTATCAAGATAAACTAAATTTATGCCTTAAACTGCAGTATATCTGGAAACTTATGTTTCCCTGAAAGTAGCGACAGTAATGAATAAGTTATTTATTCAAATTTCATTCTGAAAATTATGAAGGTTTCTAAAATTATGTTAATTCTTGATTTATTCAATAATTATTATTATAAAGTGAATAAAAAATTGCAGTTAAGCTAAAATTAAAATCTTGAAGATTGATAAAATGGATAAAATGTATTATTTATTTATAATATATTATTTATTCTATATAAAATTTTTTAAGATTGCTAAAATTTATAAAATGTATTATTTATTTATTTATTATATAAAGTTTATCATATAACATATGTTGTTTACAAGGCAATTTGATAGTTTTTATCCTAAATGTAATCCTAAAAGTTAATCATCATGGCTTTGCAGCCTTTTGGAGATAAGGGGACTTAGTATTGAGTTAAAGGATTCTAGTGATTACCATATTAAAAGCTCAAATTTTTAGAAGAATTTAAGGAATCAAATAGGAGAAACTATGTGAGGCAACACATAGATCCAAGAACCACAGGCAACTTTGAGCCTTTGTGGAGGAAGAAACAATCTTATATTTTTAATATCTGCGAATATTACTGTTGTATAGTCTCATATGCAAATTTATGCTCATAATGCTCTTGTTTCTGTGTGCTGTCATTTTGAACCAAGTCATAGTTGAACCTCCAGTGGGTTTTCAGAGGCAATACATTTTATGGGAAGGGACTGCCATCCTTCTTCCACAAAGCTGGTGGAAAATTCAAACTGCATATCTTTGTGATTGCAGCATAGGTTCTTACCACTAGGCCACCAGAGCTCTCTGCTCATAAGCATATGAAAATAATAGATTATTAATAATTTGTCTTTCAAAACCTATTTTGTAGTGTTATTTATTTGAGATTAATTTAACTGCAAGCCAGTGTTGTCTAAAAGGGAATAGCATCAATTTTCTGGAAATGACTACTGTCTAAATTACCCTTACAAGAACTAGATCATAATTGTAGCAACACATATTTAAAGCAGGGCTTTAGATTGCCAAATGAGGAGGGGAGAGGGGAGAAAAAACTCTGGAAATAAACTCAAACAATTGAAGTGAAAATGAAGACTATTTTAATGTATGTCTTACTTTTAACTCAAAGCATAACTCTCAAATTTTGAGAATTTTATTTATGATGTTTTTCAGTAGATGCTGAAAATTCAGGTGAGATTTGGAGGTTCTTGATCATGTAGATTAATTATATGGATGAAAAGCATTGGTACAGTGAGATGAATGTTAAGTAACATGAGGGGGAAAAGGCTCAGGTAACTCTTAACTCTTCAGAGACTATGTTTCTTCAGTAGTGGATGCTCTTTTTTCCCCAAGGAATGTGTGGTAACATGAGCTCACCTCTGCCACTAACTCAGAGTCAACAGAATTAGAAGGCAGTTTATAAAATGTTAGTGCTAGCTCACATTTCATAGGATGCATAAAACCCATTAGAGAACCCAAGTGTTAATGAATATCTCCACTCAGAATCTGCTTTCTTCCCTCTTACTGTACCTGATCAGCCACAGCACGGGCTAATTTGTCCATTCGAGAACCTGCTTCAGCAATTTTCTTGGCAGCATTAATGACATCAGATGTGTTTTTCAACGGGCCTTTGCCTCTGAAACAACATATAAAACAAATTAGAAGTTCACTTAATGACGGGAAACAAACAAATGTGCCATATCCTTTATTTAGAATCCGGCTTTGATGTGACTCTGGCTCTACTAGTGGAAATTTCAATGTGTTTTTTTTTATTCATTTATATTTTCATGTCAATAGTCCACTTCAATTCATTTTTAAATGAATATTCCCTCATATTTTGAGGAGTATATTCACATTTTATCCTTTATATTAATTTCTAAAATGTTAAACAGTGCTTCATTAGAAAAGATAATCACCCTAAAGACAATGGAAATGTAATCTGAAAATACTCACCATGTGCTTCATGCAATTATACACACTGCTTAATTTGGTCTCATAACTACCACAGCAAGTAAGTATATTTATTCCTATTTTAGATAACAGGAAAATGGGCCCTTCAAATATCATTTAAGCCATCCACAATTACTTACCCAACTCATAGATTCTAAATTTAAAGCAAGTCTAGCCAAAATGAATTCAAATACATTGCCCTTTACATCTTCCATACCATGCCCAGTTTGTGTGTGGATGTGTGATGTGTACGTGTTTTCACGTTTGAGATAGAAGAGGGAGTATACATTGATAGATATAAAATGGCAGTAGTTTGAAGCTGCTGCTCATCAAACTAAAATGCTGCAAGTCTCCTGCAGTTTGAATTAACCTGGAACTCTGTAGCAGAAAGATAAGCAATCTCCTCCTGTGCAATTCACTTTTCAGAAGCCTGACTGAGAGTCAGCCTTTTGTGGTGCAATGGTTAAGGGCTTAGCTGCTAACCAAACAATCAGCGATTCCACAGGAGAAAAGATCTGAAAGGCTGCTCTCATAAAGGTTAAAATTAAACAAAGAAATAAACAAGATCTCAACTGTCGTGGAGATTAAATGGATCCTCAAAGACTGTAAAGCGCAAGGAAGAGATGGGCCTTTTTTTCCTCTCATGGACTCACAGGCAGATTCAAATTGTCCACAAGGTGTGTCCTTTGGCTTAGCAGCACAGCCTTTCATGACTATAGTGTCAGAGCTCTCCATAAAGATGACAGCCTATGAAACCCTATTCTCCTCAGACTGTTTACTCAGACACATAGCATTGATATGAATAAAATATAACTAGACTGCATTGAAAAACAAAAGAATAGGTTTATATACATAAATATATAACATTTTAAACATATATTTATATACGTTAATATATTAACAGTGGACTTGAGCATGCTGGAGATTGTGCAGATAGTACAGGATAGGGCTCTAATTCATAGTGTCATTATGAGTCATAGTCAATTCCAGACAACCTAACAATCACAACATATGCTAAAATTTGCTAATAAACGTTGTTGTTGTTAAGAGCCCTCTAGTGGAGCATGATGCATAGCGACCCTATGAACAAAAGATGTGAACTCTGTTGTATAACTATCATTCTTTTGATCATATTCTTAGAGTTTTCAAAAGCACACTGTTTAGGAAGTGAATGCCAATCCTGCTTCCAAGCCTGTCTTAATCTAGGAGCTCCACTAAATACTGCCCTCTATAGATAATCATTATGGCATTTGGCACACCAGTGACCCAGCATTCAGTATCCCAGCAACACCAAGTTATCTCAGTACAGAAAGAACATTCTTCTTTATTAATAAACGTTGTTGTTGTTGATTGTCTTCAAGTCGAGCACTACTCATAGCAACCCTATGAACAAAAAAGCCTGAAGTCCCTCTACAACTATCAAAGGTCACAGAGTTTCTGGAGGCATGCTATTCAGGAAGTGGATGCATTATGGATGTTAGGTGCATTCAAGTAGCCTACAACTCATAGTGACCTCATGAACAATATATGTGTGTGAACATACATAGATAGAGATAGAGATAGAGATAGAGATGATAGATGAGATAGATATAGAGATAGATGAGATAGATCTAGAGATATAGAGATGTAGATCTCTCTGTCTCTCTCTTTATATATATATATATATATATATATGAGAGAGAGAGAGAAATATAGATGTATAGAAAGAATTTGCACTAGCATGCCAATTGAAAGCTTGTGATTCAAACCCACCTAACAGCAGTCCAGAAGAAAAATCAGCCTGTCAGCTTTTATGAAAATACAACTCCGTGGAGCAAGAAAAACTCCATGGAGGTCAATTCTACTCTGTGATAAGCATGGTCTCCATGAGTGAGACTCTCCTATAAGTCAGTAAGTTATATAATCACACACACATACAAATACATATGTGTATATGATATTATTTATATGATGTTTAGGGACATTTTGAGACCACATTGGCAACATGAAAAACTATTTTCTCCTGCCCCAAACAGGAAAATATTAGGCCATAATTTTTAGAAATCTGCTGAACTCTTATTTTCCTTGGCATGTTGCTTCTTATAAATGTTGTTATGTGCCGTTGAGTAACTTGGCACTCACAGTGACCCTATGTGCAACAGCCCTAAAGCCCTTTATCTCTTTTTTTTTTTTAATTTAGGTTGTTTATTTTTCATTTCAATGAACATTCTACAGAGATTTTGGGATTCCATTCATTCATTGTTGCACCCTTCTCCCCGCACAAACCTCCCCCCCATTTGCTCCTCTCCTTGAAAAGCAAAAGAAAAACTCCCTCATTGGTACACAATCCCCCCCCCGCACCTCCCCAGCCCTTTATCTCTTGTTGACCTTTTTGTCTCTGACACACCTATCCCCATTACCCCAGTGACAGAATCAATCCATCTCATCGAGGGTCTTCCTCTCCTGAGCAGTATCTCCACCCTCACAAGCATGACGTCCCTCTCCAAGGACTAAGCCCGCCTTGCCACATGTCCAAAATATGTCAGATGAACCTTCAGAATCCTTGCCTCCAAGAAGCAGCCTAGCTTTACCTTCTCCAGGATGAGCTTGTTTGTCCTCCTAGCAGTCCATGGTATATTTAATATTCTTCTCCAGCATCACAGCTCAAAGGCATCGACTCTCCTACCATCCCTAGTCCTTGTACAGTTCTCTGGTGCATAGCAAGTAATACCAAACACCATGGCCTGTATCAAGCACACCTTAGTCTCCAGACTGACATCATTGCTCCCCAGTACCTTGGAGAGGTCTCTGACGGAAGACTTCCCCAATACAATACATTTTTTAATTTCCTGGCTGCTAGTACCAAGTTGATTGTGGGGTCAAACAAATAGAAGCTGTCAAGAATCTCAATCATTTCATCATCTATCATGATTCTGCCTATCGGCCCAATGGTGAGAATCTTTGTTTTCTTGATGTTGAGCTTCAATCTGTGTTGAAGGCTGCAATCCTTGACTTTCTGCAGCAAGCACTTCGGATCCTCCTCAATTTCAGCCAGCAGGGTTGTGTCATCTACATAATGCAGATTTTTGTTGAGTCTGCCTCCAATCCTGATGCCACACTTCTTCTCATAAAGACCAGCCTCCTAGATAATTGGTTCTGCATATAGATTGAAAAGACATGGAGCTAGGACACATCCTTGCTAATTTTGAACCACGCAGTGTTTCCTTGCTTTGTTCTGATGGTTGGTTTCTGGTCCAAGTATACGTTTTACATTAGCACAATCAGGTGTTCTGGGATTCCCATTTTTCTTAAAGTCAGCCAGTTTGTTGTGGTCCACACAGCCAAGTGCCTTTGCAGAGTCAATGAAACACAGAGAGACATTCCTCTGGTACTTTATGCTTTCAGCCAAGATCTATCTGGGAGGCTGGAGGGACAGCGCAGGAGGGGAAGACCCTCTATGAAATGGATTGATTCGGTGACTGGGGTAATCGGGATGGGTGTGTCAGAGGCAGTGCGGTTGGCGCAGGATAGAGCAGGGTTTAGGGCTGTTGTGCATAGAGTCGCTATGAGTCAAAAATGACTCAACGGCACATAACAAAAACAACAATCCCTAGTGCCATGGCCTCTTATAAATCCAGCCTGCACTTTAGGCAATTTGATAGTTTTAATGGGTACAAATATAGATATCTTCCAGTCAGTAGGCAAGGTTTCTTGGCACATCTTGGTGAGCACATCCAGGGCAGCATCTGTTTGTTGAAATATGTCAATCGGTATGCCATCAATTCCTGGGGTCTTGTTTTTTGCTAATTCTTTCAGAGCAGCTTGAACTTCCTCCTTCATCACCACAGGCTCTTGCTCATACATTGTTTCAAGAAATTCTTTTGTGTCCACCAGCTCCTTTTGGTACAATGACTCTGTATACACTTTCCATCTTTTTGTTTGTTTGTTTTGTTTTGTTTTTAATGCTTCTAGCATCATTTAATACTCTTCTCAAGCATCCTAAAGTATTGCAACTCGAGGTTTGAATTTGTTCTTCATTTCCTTCAGTTTAAGAAATGCTGAGCGAGTTTGGCCCTTTTGATTTTCTGATACCAGCTCCTTGCACATTTCACTGTAATACTTGACTTTGTCTTCCTGTGCTGCCCTCTAGAATCTTCTGTTCAACTCCTTAATATCTTGATTTTTTTCCTTTGCTTTCACTTCTTGGCGCTCCAGTGCAATATTTAGAGTTTGTTCTGACATCCATCTTAGTCTTTTCTTCCTCCTCTGTTTTCATAATGTTGCATTCTTCTTGGCTGGTATTCTTGATATCCTCCCACAGCTTATCTGGTCTTCACTCATTAATGTCCAAGGCCTCAAGCCTGTTCCTGAGATGGTTTTGAAATTCAGTCGGGATAGGCTCAAGGTCAATTTTGGTTCCTATAGACTTGATTTACTTTTCCTCCACTTTAGCTTGAACATGCATATGAGTAGTTGGTGATCTGCTCCACAATCAACACCTGGCCTAGTTTTCACAGCTGATATTGAGCTTCTCCAGTTATTCTTTCCACAGATGTAATCTATGTGATTCCTATGCATACCATCAGGTGAAATCCATGTGTATAGCCTGCGTTTGTGTTTCTTATAATACTTATTTACAATGAATAATTTCGTTGATTGTTCAAATTCTATCATTATATCTCTGGCTTCACTTCTGTTAATAAGTCC